GGGAAGATTTATATTTGGTACTGAGAAATTTATCTCTTTCACAGCTACTACAAGACAGCTCTGGCATCAAAACAATCCTTTGAAATATATAGTGAAAGAGGTACAGCATGTTTTCTTCATGATGTTGACCAGATGTGGAAAGATTAACTTTGGGGGAAGCTTGCCATATGCTTAGTAAGAACACAAAACAAGTAAAATATGATTTGCCATTATTACATTTGTAAAAGAAGTCTGTGAGAGGCAGTTATCTACTATATGTGTGTGTGTGTGTGTACGTGTGCATGTGTGTGCGTGTGCGTCTCTTTCTCTCTCTCTCTCTGTGTATGTGTATATATATATATATAAATATTTTTGGATTAGTATCTATGTTTGTGGGCAATTTCCAAGATGGCTCCCACATCCAGAGAGCCCTCTGGCTCCTACCAATGGATCTGGACCAAACTTGGCACACAGACCCCTCACAGCCTACTTTATGGTGAGGTTTGGGGTGGGATGGCCCTGGATGATGGGAGTTGCAGCTCACCCACATTCAGAGACCATTTTGAACCCCACCAGTGGTGGATCTGGACCAAACCTGGCATACATACCCATCATGATCAACTTTTAGTGGGCTTTGAGGGGATGGACCTAGGATGTTGGGAGTGGTAATTTACCCATATCCCTATGTATTTTCTAATGGGACAGTTCATAACATTCAAAGAAATATGACCTTTTCTAACAAACAGCATCAAACCTGAGAATCGCTGGGTACCTAAGATAGTGCTTTATAAACAGTCCAACTGACAAGGGATAACTCTCCCATCCCTGTATTATTGTGTTCCTGGACTAAATTATATTATTTCTTCTATATTTTTAGGCAAGGTAAATCCATGTAAATGAATGCGTTGGGATGAAATGGCGTAGAAATAGGTCAACAACTATTTTTGTAATTACTAAAATTGAACAGCACTCTTGGTTGACTGGTATTGCTTTGTAGATTACTCCTCAGCTTGTTTGTTCAGAAAATATAAACCTGGGTCCTCATGTAATAATAATATAATAAAAAAAACTTTATTTATATACCTCTCTATCTCCCCGAGGGAACTCAGGGCAGTTTCCAAGTAACAACACCAAAACATACAGAGAAGACAACATAAGCATAAAATTAACAAAACAACATAAGCATAAAATGTGATATATGTTTGTGATATATCCAGTGCTCTGGTGAGCAAAGGCTCCCCATATTGTGTTTCAGGGTAATTCCTGCTCCACATGTAATAGCACACTGATAGAGATATAAATGGAAGAAGATGGCCTTAACTTTTAGGGTTGCCGCGTGCTTAGGTCTGGATCTAGGCATCAATCAATCAAACCTGTTGATCAATGAGCCTAACCATCTGGCCTGATGCTAGAATCATTGGGATAACAAGGATGGGATCCACATGGATGGATGTCACAGTGTGGTCCCAACAAGTGAAGTAGTGCACGAAAGATGTCAATCCCTGAATTAAGCAAATCTGTTCTTTCCCACATATCCTGATTCCTTAAGGGAACCCTCGTACCTTATCTGCCAATAGCTGATGAGACACTGAAAATGGAGGTCCTAGACCTAGGATCCATGCCTTCCACCACAAAAGATGGCCTGGGGAGATAGAGCAGTATATAAATAAAGTTTTATTATTATATTATTATTACAGATAGCCTACCTTCTGCCTATCCACCACAACTGCAACCTGTCAGGATCCTATGTCTAGGATCTGCCATGGTATAGAGTATGTCATCTGGGACTATCATATATCTTGACAACGATACACATACATACACACACATATATAAAGAGAGAGAGAGCGCTTTAGATGTATTACTATAGCCTGCCCCAGCATACTGTGTATTTTCTACCCCAATCCCAGGGAGATTAGAGAGGGGAGTCTGGGAACCGTGGAGCTGGGAACTGAGCTAATTTTCTCATGAGAACTGGTGTTCGGACAAGTGATATAGTATTTAGATTTATTACCCAGTTACTGAAAAGACTGCAAAGTGTAACAGAGAGATTTTGTGAGCCAGTGAAAATATATGCACGAAATATTTGAATGCAAAGCCTGTATAATATGTGTTCTTTAAGGGACACATATTAATTTTTTGGGATGAAGTGGTGTAGAAATAGGTCAACAACTATTTTTGTAATTACTAAAATTGAACTAATTACTAAAATTAAAATTAAAGTTTAGTTTTGACAACAAAAGGGTGCAGAGCCTGTACTGTTTTCTCTCTATAAAATTATTCCATTCTGCAAGTCAGACTACTTCTTGAGACAGATTTGGTCTAAAACTGACAAAACCAACAAGCAAATTGAAGCCCAATGATTGCAACCATTCAACCAGGCCATGGTAGGATTATGAGTGATGAATTTCAGAAAATGCTGTTACACAGTCTTGCAGTCTAATTTTAAGACTGTTTCCACACAATTCAGCCCAGTTGTTTCATTGGGCTGTTTATCACATAGGCTCCTTGTTCCACATGAAAAGTGCTTTTGTGCCATCTGGGCAATGCCAGTTCCTGTAATGGTCTTTTTGTACTCTGGTGCTGAAGCTAGTCTTGACCCTACCTTCTTCTTAATTGGCAGCAGCTAGCAAACTTTAAAAGTTTTTTTAAAGCCAGAAGCCACTGTATCGATACCCAAATACTAGGTTTTATGGCTATTCTCACTTGAGGTTCCACTTGTGACCTATACATTTTGTGTTTTGGAAAATAATGCTCCATTTTGGTCCTCTATTATGTGGATGAAGTGTGTTAGTTTATTTTTTTTGTGTGATTTTGTCTGTGTTATAGCTATGGTAATGCAGTAGCCTAATTGATATCTCTCCAATATCCTGCCACTTGGTACCAAAAATATGTGATTGGGCCTTTCTCTAGGCCAGGGGTCCACAAACTTTTTAAACAGAGGGCCAGGTCACAGTCCCTCAAACCGTTGGAGGGCCGGATTATAATTTGAAAAAGACATGAATGAATTCCTATACACACTGCACATATTTTATTTGTAGTGCAAAAAAACCACTTAAATGCAATATAATAATTAAAATGAAGAACAATTTTAACAAATATAAACTTATTATTATTTCAATGGGAAGTGCGGGCCTGCTTGACATAGGATTATTGTTGTTGTTGTGTGCTTTCAAGTCTTTTCAGACTTACGTTGACCCTGAGCAAGGGCCAGATAAATGACCTTGGAGGGCCGTATCCGGCCACCGGGCCTTAGTTTGAGGACCCCTGAGGTAAGGCAACCACCAAAAAAATAACCAATAACTCTGGGAGAAAGTCAGAAAAGCTCTTGCTCTGTATCAGATCCCATTTGCAAGATACATTACATATACTGAGAAGGTGAGTCAGTCAGGCTAGAATAAGAAAAATAAGGAAACACTGGAGCAACAGGGAAATAGTGTGGAGAAGATTGTGAAATGGTAACACTCCCTTTGCATCAGTCTTTTCCCAAAGTGAAAACATCTCTCTAATTGACACTATATATAGATTCTGCCTCAGTTTTTGGAGTTTATTCTATGAAGAAAGGGGAGAAAGTGTGTTTTGGAGGCAAGCGTTGGTTGTTTGTTTGCCAGCACTCTTTGGAGAATTATGTGGTGATTTTGTTTTGTTTTTGAGCGCATGTTTGAGCACATATTGAGGGGGCTGGGTTTCTGCTGAATCTCTGACATGGATGGGGGTCTGTGTAATAGCCACTGGCTCTGTATTGCTGCCTCTTCTGTTTTCATTGCTCAGCAAACAGGTCATTTGAAAGCATTCATGAGGGGACTGTAAACAGTGCCACTATATATAGGATGACAAATTTGGATAGTGATGGCGTTGTTGCAGTTACATACCTCTGTTCAATGTTTGTTTTCTTGCTTGATCAGTGGGTTTGGATCTAACCCTAGCCAACAAAAATGAATTGTTTACTGAGGTGGAAATACTGTGATCCTTAGGCAGGAGTGATCCTTTTGGGAGTTTATGCAAGGCAAAAAGGGAAACCAAATGTAGTCATTCAATCTGGTTTGAGAAAACTGATTTTAGTAAGTGTAGGAAAATATTCAGTGAAATCCCATGGTCAGAAATGCTCAAAAAGAAGAAATGTCATAGTACATGTGAGTTTCTTAAAGGTGAGACTGAAGGTACTGCTGCAAACAATTCCAGTGAGGAACTAAAATAGAAGGTATCTGAAGAAACTAGAGAAGATGTACAAAGGATTTTCAGATGAGCTGAAATTTAAAGGAAATATGTGTAAGAATTAAAGAAGGGGAAAACCACAAGAGAGAAATGCAGTTCTTGCAAGGAAAATTCATAAAAAGTAAAGCTGAGAATGAGCTCACTCACTAGAGAGTTGGAGAATTTTCATCCTCCTCTCTCGCCTGGAGATGATGCATGAAAACCATAAATTTAGGACCAGACTTTGAGATCTGGGAATGCTAATCCTGATGTATATTATCTGTAAGGATTATGGTATGACAGATATAAAATACTGAATGGGCCTGTTATTGTCAGGCCAGATATCTCATATACAGTGGGTCCTTCAGGCCTGCAATTTCCAGTAACAGTTGATTATCACAACCCATGTTAATCACAGTGATTGCCCACATTTTTCATATCCACAGTGGTGCCTGGATATGGTGTGGCAGGTCCAGTGTATACTTGCTGCATGTGCATTGTGTTGTTGTGCAGGCAAAACATCAGCCACTGCCACTCTGGCATAACGTCAGTTCAACATCATAATGCATCTCCAGCATCCGCCTATCTTTGGCCTCCATTAGCAGAAATCTATTTAAGAGTAATTCAGTCATCATCCAGAGGGTATAACATCCACAATCAGTTGTTCTATATTCTATATATGTTAGCCGTCTACTGGTATCACTTCAATGTTGTCAAAATTCCAGTTGTAATTTAAGATAATTCAACTACCTAGGATATAGTTCATGTTTAAGTTTTTATCAGCTTTAAATATACATGAATAACATTTTCTATATTTCATTTCACAGGGAGAAACAGAATTTGAATGTATAAAAGCAACTTTCCTCTGATGCAATGACTTCGGGTAAGCTAGATTTTTCTCTTCTCTATTTACTGAAATTTTAGGTCAGCAGTATTCCAAGGAGAGTCTGCCAGTGCATTTATTTAAAAAACAGTAGAAGTCCTTTCTACCTGTCCTACCTTCTTTTTTTGCAGCCTACAATATCCATTACGTCTTGGGGAAAAATCACCCTTAAACTTGCCCATTTTATTTGGGGTGGGGGAAAGCAACCAAAGGATGTGTACTTTTGATCCACATCAGCTTTCTGCTGAAGTCCCTTCAGTGCTGCAATTGTTCTATAAGGTAAACAGCACTTTGGGGAGTCAAATGACAAACCAATGCCTGGTTTGTATCAGGAGCATATCCCAGTTATTTAAAAAAAATCTTCCCCAAATAATCAGTGGATGATTCAAGGAATTATTTTGAAGAGTGTGAAACATGCAGTTTCATCCTTGCTGCAGATAAACAAAACAACAGATACGGAATATGTTAATACAAGCAGTATTGTCACTAAAGGGACATGGGAGTTGCAAGCTCCACCAGATGACAACATCAGAGGAAGTGACACATCTTTGCAGAGACAGTCCCCAAGTTGCAAACATCCAACTTACAAACAACTCATAATTAAGAATGGGGGTTAGACAACAGGAAGTGAGATAAATCTACCCCTACGAAGGGAAATTCACTCCTGAAAGAGTTATCATGGGGAAAAGGTGTCTCCACTGAAATTTTCTCACCAATCCTTGTTTCTACAGCAAGCCCCATTTTTCAAAATGCAATTCTCACAGGGACCAGAAAGTGAGGTGAAATCTTCTGAACGGGGTCACAACAAACATGACAAGTGAGTTAACTCCCTATGCTATCCAAAGCTTGCACATATTACACTTAAAAGTACATATTCCAACTTACATAAAAAAATCAACTTAAGAACAAACCTATCTTGTTTGTAACTTGAGAACTGCCTGTACGGTGTTTCAGGAGAAATTTGTTACTTTTGAAATGCAAATATCCCTTTAGTTAGATATACGGTAACTGCCAAACATTTTTTTTTTCATAATCCCAGTTTAGATGAACTATATCAACATACCTACAAGGCTAAACATAGATTCCAATTTCGTTTTTGAACCTTCAAACACACATTCAAGTTAGAGATGTCATTATTACCAATTACAATGACACTTTGTATGAAAGTCCTCCTCAGCCAACTCAAAGGAACTCGCTTGCAGTTGTTCTTAAGGCTGAGAAGTAGTAGCTCCTTCCATGGTGCCTTCTTCAAAGCTTGGCTGAGTGAGCTTCTGGGCACTTCTGGGCTCCACCTCCACCCCTGAGCCTTCCACCAGCATCTCCTCATAACTCTTACCAAGCTGTCCATGACATAAATGCAGATACTGTAACTGGCTTCAGTTTTTCTCAGTCAGTGAAGACTTGGGATATCCTTCCAGTGAACTATTGTGAGTTTATCAAAATGCATTTGAGTCTGGGTTTTTCTCTTTTTGAATCTATAGCAGCTTAACGTATTGGTTATTAGTTTGGCACTGGAAAACCTTTATTTATATACTTATTAAATTTGTCTGCTGTCCTTAAGTTTAATCAACTTTTAGGACAGAAAGAATTAAACATGTGTGCAGGCCCGTAGCCAGGAATTCGTTTCAGGGGGGGGGGATTTTTTTCAGGGGGGGTTTTGGGGGGGGGCTGAGTTTCGGGGGGGGCTGAGTCTGAGTGAAAGAGGGTCTAGCCTAGCAAACCTTTTGTATCATTACCCCAATACCCCCATGCATATGAGATATATTGAGTATGGTGATCAGATCATGATATGAATAAACATAACAGTTTAAATAATGCACCAGTAAGGCCTTTTCGCAAACCACCATGAGAATTTCGGGGGGGGGCTGAAGCCCCCCGAGCCCCCCCCTCCCCGGCTACATGCCTGTATGTGTGTCTCTTCCTCCTCATTTAAGATTTCACGCCTGAGAAAATTGTAGTAGAATTGTTATCTGATGCTATTTGTCACACATTTAGTAGCCCAATTTGCATTGGCAGCAAAGAAACTTATTGATGACATCATTAATGAACATATTATAAAAATTATTGTTACACCTTTTAGTTGATTTTGTCAGTCTGTAAAATAGTTTTGCAGCTAAGTTTAATATTTTTAATAATTTGCTGTTTGCTGTAATATTTTGTGTGTTGTGAAGGCCAATAACTGTATAATATTGTTGATGATAATGAGATGGTGGTTTACGATTGTTAAGATGTACACTTGGGCCCCTTCTACACTGCCATATAATTCAGATTATCAAAGCAGATAATCCACATCTGCTTTGAATATTTTGATGCGTACTACAGAAAATTCACATGTTCACCTGGTGCCCCACAAAAAAGTATTTCCTGCTCTGGATTTCTTTAGAATGACTATTTGAGAAAGGATCAGAGATCCCGTGTCTTTCATAGTTGTGTTAAAATGAGGATTTCAGAAGGTGTAGTTTGGACATCTTAGCAGACTTAAAATATAGAGGTGTCTCACTTCCTCTGTACTTTTCTAGAAGGAGAAATTGTTCTCTCAACACTGCTATGTATAGGAATGCTATCCTTCTGCTGTGTTAAAACGGTTTTATAATTACGGAGTCTAAGGTCTAGGTGCAATTTCAGACTTCTTTGAAAGTGTGTTTGCTTTTTTCCCCTTCCTCCTCCTCTTCTTTGTCTTTGTCGTCTTTCTTCCTCTTGGTATGATTTCATGTATGCTGTGATGACTGTATTGTTCTTTGGTTTTAAATGTGTCTTTATTCACTTCACACAGTATGTAATGTGCCACTAATTTTTAAAAAAGAAAATAGGCTGTGGGAGCCACATTTCCTAGCATTTTGAAGAGTACTTTCTTTTAAGGAAGCAGAGGCAAATAAAGAAGGAATCAATCCCAGACATCCTATTTTTCTTAGAAGCTTACAAACATTGCCTGGACATTAACCTTTCCTTGCCAACCTTTGCAACAGTGTTCATTTCCTGTTAATTTGACAAACCCAAATTCCTAAATATACTGCTACTATTTTGTTTTGTTTTATTACTACTTGAAATATGCAATTCACCTGGCTTTCTGTTAGTGAAACCAATTTGGAATTTCAGCTTGAAATGTATTACTGCAATTCAGACATCAATCCCACACAGTCACATTGGGACAATGCATTATGGCTGCATGGACACATATGTACATTTGCAGTCTTTGCTTTTCATATTATAAAAAGGATGACTTCCAACGATCATTTCTGCAGTTATATTTTTACACTTAAAAATTAACTATCTGTATTTTATCTGTCCATTTTACTTCAATGAAGTTATATTAATTAATATAGTATGACCCCCCATATCCACAAGGGATACATCCCTGGAACTCATGTGGATGTATGAAACCATGGATAATAGAAAACTCTATTGCTTTCAATGGGATGAACAATGGAGGTAATCAAGAAGAGGGTATAGTTTGTACATGAGGCTCCAAGTGAATAATTAAGTAACTGAAAGTATGGATAAGTGAAACCAAGTGTGTATCTACAGTCATCAAACTACCCAAATTTCCCCTTCAAAAGTTATGAGTTTCCAGTCTTTTAAAACATTGTTGGTGCCTTTTATTTAATTAAAATAATTAATTTGTCAATTTCTGCAAAATTGTTAAGTTTTGATTACCAATTTTCTTTAGTGAGTGCTAAATTGTTCTTCCATTTGAATATGTAGCATTGTTGCAGCTGTTGTCATATACTGAAATATTTTCCATGGCCCCATTCCAGTTGATAGTCCATCAACCCCAAAAGAAAAAGTTCAGATTTTAATTGTGCCCAAAATTTCTAGCCAATTTTATCGTATGCAGTCTTTATTTCTTTGTCTTCCACCTCAAACTTTAATTGAAGTTTATTCATTTTACCAGTGACCTGTTAATCATTTGTACATAATTAAGCTTCAAACCCAAATTTATTCAATTTAAAAAACATCTCCAATTTCTGCTTTTATTAGGAAGTTGTTTTGAATCTATCAACAAGTAAACAAATTACGGCCTCTACTGGAGGAAAGTAAAATTGTACTTCTTTCTTCCAGATTGTACTTCTACTGCATCATCAAGAGGAGCATAGTGTTCTTTATTATTGTTGTTGTTGTTTACTTTTATCCCACTTTTCTCCCATGGATGGGATTCAAAGTGTAGTACAAAATTAAGACAACTACATAGTATAAAAAAGTCATTCCACCCATCCGACATATAAACAATAAATCCAGACATTGCATAAAAACACAAGTTACATAAATATAAATAAGCATAATAATAATCACATATGTTGTTGTTATTAAAATCCCTGTGCCTCAGACCACTGAGACTGTCCTAACAAGTTAAAACAATTAAACATTAAGCTCAACGACTCAGAGCTCCCAGTATTTTGCCATGTGCATCTTGTCTGGTCGAGGTAGCTGCTATTATATGTTATCGGGGAAGGTCTGCTTCCATAAAAATGCTTTCACCTGGGAGTGGAGGGGGCCGAATGTGTCTCTCTAGGGAGGGAGTTCCAGAGCCATGAAGCCACCACTGAAAAGGTCCTCTCTCTCATTCTCACCAACCATACTTGTGACGGTGGTGGGACTCATGTAGGCTGGTAGGAGGAGATGTGGTCCTCAAGTAGGCTGCATCTGAACTTTTTTGGACTTTTTAGGCTAAAGCCAGCAACTCGATTTGTGCCCGGAAGCAAACTGGTAGCCTTCAGAAGTGGGGGAGCAGGAAACGATGGAACTTAGGGAAAAAGAGAATCAACTCAGATTCAGGAACGTGATAGAGGAGGAAGAAGAAAACATAAGAGAAGTAATAGTGGACCTGATTACACAACTAACGAAAAAAAGAAAACCAGATGTAGAATTAGAAGTGGACAGAGTGTTCAGGATACAAACATCACACTCCAGGAAATTCAAAACCCCGAAAGACATCATTGTACAATTGTAAAAGAAAAATACTCGGGATGAAATACTTAGAGAACATTCAAAATTGCCAATAC